GGAAGCTGATGAGTCATTATAAAAAGGAAATATTATATGACACCAAGTTAATTTTGGATGCTTCAGCCAAAGGAAATATTAACTATAATACAAAAAAAAAGGTAGTGGTCATTATTTACAATATTTCTAGTAGTCATAGTGGATCCTAAAGGACGAGATTTGTACTAAGGAAAGGAATATATGAGTTTGGATCCAATGGTGTGATATTGGCTCAATACAAACTTCTAGCACAATAAATAGAGATGTTGAATAAGATAGTGAAGAAGCTACCACAACAAATCCAACAACTATAGTCTAAGACACATATAGCAACTTGTGCATACTACATTCATTATAAGAAAACATTGAAATATTTATGGAAAATAAGTGTCGATCAATAGCTGACACAAATACTATTAGTTAATTTAAAATGTAGCGTCAACTTTTCTAACACTAAATTTAAATTAAGTTTAGTATCAGAAAAGGCGACGCTATTCTTTAAATATAGTGTCAATTTTTCTTATATTAACATAAATTAAGTATCAGAAAAGCCGACGCTAAATCTAAAGAAATAACGTAAGCTTTTCTAACACTAAACTTAATTTAAGTTAGTGTCAGAAAATTCAATGTTATATTTAAAGAATAACATCGACTTTTCTGACAGTAAACTTAATTTAAATTTAATGTTAACAAAATTGATGTTATATCTAAAGAATAATGTCATCTTTTTTGACATTATACATGCTTTAAGAGAGATAAAGATAATTTTGTTCAATCTTATATACACATAATGTGTCGTGGTGTAGTTGGTTATCAAGTTAGCTTAACACAATGAGGGTCCAGGATCGAATCTCGACAATACTAAAATTTAGGTGAATAAATGATAAGCTAAAAAGAAATGTGAACGAATAAATGGTAAGTTGGAAAAAGAAGATTAGGAAAAAATAAAATAAATTTTGTGTCGGCTAGGTCAACAATAAAAATTATTAAGTTAGTGTCAACGTAGTGTTGACTTGGCCAAAGATAAAAAATTAAAATAAAAAAAATTATTATGTTAGTGTCGACTTAGTATCAGCTAAACTAACAATAAAAAAATTAAAATAAATAAAATTATTAAGTTAGTGTTAGCTACACTGACAATAAATCGATTATAAAATTTTTTGTCTGGTCCAATTCCTTCATGGATTGGAGAAAAATTACAATAGTTGGAAATCTTAGGCTTTCGAGTAAATCGCTTCATTGGAAATGTTCTTGTTCATCTCTGTTATTTGAGCCAAATTCGTCTCTTGGACCTTTCAAGGAATAATTTGTCAGGAGGAATTCCAACATGTTTGGGGAATTTTATTACAATGATGGAAAAAGAAGTAATAGCAAGGGAAATTGTAAGGGATCAAAAAAATAACATCCACAAGAACATACTATGTTATTTATGACTCTAACGTGTTACTTATGTGGAAAGGTAAGGATTATGTGTTTTGGGATCTTGAGACTCTTCTAAGCAGCATTGGTTTCTCAAGTAATGATTTAACAGGTGCAATACCAAAAGAGGTTGGATATTTAGTTGGATTAGTTTTTTTGAATTTATCAACAAACTATTAAGACATGCAATGGGCAGCGGAAGCATAAAACATAAAACACCATACAAACCATAAAACAGAGAAGAAGAAAGGTTAGGAAATAGAGCAATTTCGTATTTCCTGGACAACCATGCCATTCTGCTTGTTTTTCATTCATATATAAGGCAAATACATAAAAAATGATAGCCAACATAGAGCCCATAAATGCTGTCTGTAAAATATATGTTCCCACCATCATTAAGTGTGTAGATTTGCCTAAAATTAGATACCTAACAAGATTTATTATCTACTGAACTAAGCAAACATAATTACAGTAGAACTTTACCTACTAATACAAGCAACCTTAATTAATTATAACAGTAAAAAATAAAGGAAAAGTTTTACTACTTTAAACCCCCCCTTAAAACTTTTCTTAAGGACTCCCAACTTGCTTCTTAGCTCATTAAACTTAGGACTTGGAAGGGCCTTAGTGAGTATGTCTGCCAATTGATCCTCGGACCTGCAATACATCAAATGAACATCTCTATTCTTCTCAGCTTCCCTTATAGCATGAAATTTGACATTGATATGCTTGGTTCTCCCATGTTGAATTGGATTTTTAGCAATTGAAATGGCTGACTTGTTATCACACCATAGCACAATAGGTTCTATTTGCACATGACTCAAATCTGTCAAAACTTTCCTGACCTATATAACTTGATTTGAGGCTACTACTGCAACTACATATTCAGTCTCAGCAGAGGATTGAGCAACCACGTCTTGCTTCTTAGAGTTCCATGAAAATACTCCACTACCAAGTGAAAAAACATACCCTGTTGTGCTCTTAGAGTCATTAATAGATTCAGCCCAATCACTATCAACAAAACCTTCAACCTTTCCATCACTTTTGCTATACCAAATGCCAAAATCAGCAGTACCCTTCAAGTATCTCAACACTCTTTTGCCTACACTAAAGTGTGTTAAACTTGGTGAATGCATGAACCTTGAAAGTAAACTACTGCAAAACATCAAATCTGGTCTGGTTGTAGTC